GGGTGAGGGTGAGGGTGAGGGTGAGGGTGAGGGTGAGGGTGAGGGTGTGGGTGTGGGTGTGGGTGTGAGGAAAATGTACACCCACACCCACATCCATACCCACACCCATCCACACCCACATCCATACCCACACTCATCCACACCCACACTCACATCCATACCCACACCCATCCACACCCACATCCATCCCCACACTCATCCACACCCACACTCACATCCATACCCACACCCATCCACACCTACATCCATCCCCACACTCATCCACATCCACACTCACATCCATACCCACACCCATCCACACCCACATCCATACCCACACTCATCCACACCCACACTCACATCCATATCCACACCCATCCACATCCACACCCACACCACACACCCACATCCACACCCATATCCATACCTACACCCACACTTCACACCCCACACCCACATCCCTTTCCAAAGAATCAAAGTCAAATGAATGATGGTCATGGCTCGTTTTCACTGATTTTTCGCATATAGTCACTATATTCCGCTACAGTGTTTGTTTGATGTGTTGAATAATAACTTGAATAAAGGGCTTCAGCATAATTATTTGCATAAAATTGAGAAGGTGGCAGAAATGAATGAAGGTTTGAAAATGAGATTGTGCTATTGACTGCTTGTTTTATATTCAAATTGTATAATAATAAGTAAGTAAAAAATCAAATATAGATTGACTTCTACCGTAGCTTTTCTTTTGTAAATAGAAAAAACATAATTTGAATAGAAACATCTTACAAATGCTGCTGACAGGTCGAAATGTGCAAATATATAATGCAAATGAAAAAGAGAGAGAACACACCTAACGATTTTTTTTTAGTATTAAATTGCACGTAGAAAAGAATACTAATAATGAGTGTATGGGGCTTTCAATATCCAAAATTGAGTGACTCGTCGATCCCAGAACCTGCCTCATTCCAGCATCGACGTTCATTTAACAAATCTGACGAGAGTAATACTCGTGTAAATTGTGTCTGGTCCGCCGATGTTTCTCAATCTCGATCAAAACATCATCAAAAAATAAGGTAAATTGAGCAATCATCTATTTAATGAATATATTGTTATGCTACGATCATTAAGATGGGAATTAATACGCAATCCAACACAGTACTGGTCATCAATGCCATCAGTTCTTTCAGGTTTTGTGTTAGGTGTGCTTACAGGTTGTTTGATTTTGGCTGTTATACTCTCACTGTGGTTGATACCGGTCATCAAAACAGAAGTAACGACGACATCAATAACAACGATAACCATATCAACAACAACGATAACCACATCTACGTCAGTTACATCAACAACAACAAGTAGGACAACATTCATGTTTTTATTCACATATTCACAAAAATATTCGTCAAATTGTATTTTCAAAAGATGTTATAGTTGATCAGTGTGATACATATTCATGACTAACGAGAGAAAGTCCTCAACTATCTAATTACCTTACCGTCGAAACATACTTGACCATATGCTATTCATTGCGTTGATCCAAAATACGAAATTCCTAGCTAGAGAGCTGTGGGTCTGCGTTAGATCTTCGATAGTTCCATACTAGTTTCGATCTTGAAAACTGTGCAACAGTTCTTTTGAGTAGTTAATCTGAATTTATGATCTTGAACTGTCATCGATTTAGTCCGCATTCCAAGATTTGATGTTTGTTGAATCAGGACCTCAGTCCATATCTACATCTAACTGCAGTCCCAGTTAATTCGTTGAAAAGAAAGAATAACAGGAGAGTAAATAAAAATAAATGACGTTATATTGACTTCATTTCCGAGATTAATCAGTAAACAATCGAGCTCTTGTGTCTTGAGCAGTCATCCTATTCCGCAAAGGTGAACATTCCGAAACCAGTTCCGAC